AAGATTGCTTAGCAGATATCTTTGCCATTTCACTAACAATTTCGTATTTAACGAGGAACAAAGCAAACAACTGAATGAGTAATCTCCGTTTGTAAAAATTATCAAAAATACGGAAAAAAATACCGGCAATAATGAGGTAAGAAAGCAGGTAACTGAGATAATCCTGTTTGTCATGGCAGTTGAACAAAGCTACAATCTCTGAAACATGTTAGATATAGCGCACATCATCGTTTAATAACTATTACAATGATCTGATGCTTTTCAATCTTTAAGCATCCGTATTGGCTCACATAATAAGAAATGGATGCATAATTCACACTAACTCTGCCTCAATAAAACTTATCAACTAACATATACATCAAATTACATAAGATAACAGGAAAGTATGTGGTTTTACCAAGCAGCTAGTCTTTGCGTGTTGTGACCCGTGCTCGTTTCTCTACTAAGCGTGTATTTACCAAATTCTCTTTGTACATGAAAGTTTCTAGACCGATCCTATAAATAGCGCATATTAATCTGTTCGCTGATCATCCGAGATGGGATGTTGGCTCTATTCAATAATATCATGTCTTGTTTAACTTGTTGGATAGAAATGCTACTGTAGTTCACGAATAGAATTGGAGAAAACTATATTTTAACTAACACATATTTCAAGAAAGCCAAGTCTGTATTTCGTTTGTATTGTTTGTTTCCAAGTATGCATTGTCTCTATAAGTTCCGACTCGTTTATTTTTACATTCTTCGTTGATCTTATCATTATATTTGTATTGGTCTACAGGTCCACACGTTTTTTCTTTTCTGTAAACAAAGATTTTTTTCACTTTTAGAGTATCCAGCGGGCCAACAAGCACTTGATTGGACTTCAGGTAGTTTTTTATGAAGTCAAGAAAATATGGATTATTAACCGCATATTCATCGAATTCCTCTATAATGGTAGATAACGAACCTAAAGCATGGCGATTCGATAGTTCTGGTGATATTATTCTAGAGATGAACACTGGAATGTTATGTATCGGTTGTAATTTGTCAGACTTTGTAGAAACATTGCGTTTATCATTGATCTCAAACTTTTGAAGTTTTTTCGCAAAATTATATTTATTTTGAAGTGGATCTTCGTGTGAATTGGGTGAAAAAGTCTGAGAAAATTCCACTAAACTTGGATACTGGGCTACTGCATTCGAGTGGTTGCCTTCTGCTACATTATTCGAGATTTCTTCGGCTCTGGCACACATTTTAACGTTGGTCTGGGTGTGCGCCTCATTGCTGGTGTATGAGATAGGAATTTCGTTTTTAACGACATCTGGATGAACCATTTTCACGCAGCAACTTTCTACATTACTATTTTGTTCTATACCAATTTTCTCACAATTTTCAGATGATGATGTTTCCACGTCCCTTACTCTCTTGGTACAAAAGCCATAATCTGCTGGTTTTCTCTTGTCGATCATTATTTCTTTTTCCTTTTCCACATGTATGAGATTTTTTGCAGCTTCAACTATGTCATTCGTAGAGTTTTCATTATACTTTCCTTGTGATGATCGATTAGGTTCTATTTTTCTCAGCTGAGCCTTTTTTTCGAGTATTTGCTCCTTAAGTGTTTTCTCCGCCGTATCTTTGCCTTCAGAACGTAATATATGCATGATCGAATGCTTTCTATCTTTCAAATTACGTGTTGGCAGCTGATTTTGAGGAATACAAGCATATTCACTAATTCCGCTTTTCTGGCCATCAGGTATCTTCGCATCAATAGGGTCTCCTGCCTTTAAAATTGTTGATCGGTCCTCCGGTCCACTTGGTTCAACATGGACTGGTTTTTCTACTTCAGAAGCTATCGGTTGACTCTTATATTTATCGTGACCGTGTTCGTCTAGCGATGGTTGATCAATAAGTGAGGGTTTTTTCGTGTCACTAGTGTTTTCAGTGTTTTCGGTGTTTTCGGTGTTTGCAGTGTTTGCAGTGTTTGCAGTGTTTTCAGTGTTTTCAGTGTTTTCGGTGTTTTCGGTGTTTTCGGTGTTTTCAGTGTTTTCAGTGTTTTCAGTGTTTGCCGTGTTTGCAGTGTTTGCAGGTGCTATATTGACAATGATAGTAGATTTTTCCGCTTTTTCGTTTTTAGCTTGCAATACATTTTCTACACCCAACGTAGTTTCAATGTTTTTCGTGTTTAGCGCTTCTCTTGGATTCGCAGCACCGGAGATATTTGCTACAATCTCAGTGCGTACCTTCTTTTCATCATTTCTAGAATCTGATGCTTGCTCATAATCACTGGTAGTTAAGCCTATTGGTTGTGAAGCACAGTTTATATCGGGGTTATCTCTTCCAGTTTGAATAGAATTATCGTGATGCTCAGCATGCACATTCACATTATGGTCCAAAGTTGAATCTTTCGTATTTCTTGTATCTTTAATTTCATCATTATTCGTTACATTTTCGCTCATCATGTTCAACCCAGTTGTTTCACCCCTTAATTTTGCCAAACTGCACTCAGTTCCAGCACTCGTTTCATGTTCAACATCTGCTGTTTTTGATATTATATCTTTTTTACTGTTTGCTTGCTGATCATACCGTGAAACTTTAAATTCCTTCCATTTTATTTCATTTGTATGGTTTATGTAACTCTGTTTTACAGGATATTTCATGGCTTTTGACTCAGGCCAAGATTTTCTTGGTTGAGAACGCTCACCAACATCTGTCAAATCTTCATAAATAGATGGTTTCCTATTATGGTAGCTTGAATGATTATGAATAATATCTGTGTTATATCGCCAAAGATCGTTGTACTCGGATGAATTATTGAAGTTTTCATCTATTCCAGTATAATTGGTGTGAAAGCTATGGTCAACGCTTTCATTAACCTTCCAGAAATTATCATTAAAATTTGATATGGGAGTAGTTTTTAGGGCTGCATCCTTTAAGTCTGGCGTAGTAACTGTTATACCGCTGTAATCCATTTCACAATCACTAACACTATCCATTGGTATGACTCTTTTTACTAGTGCATCGTTGGTACTTGTCCTATGGATGAATTTGGGCCTACAAATAAGAATAATAACCACAAAGGAACTTGTGATTATGATGAAATATAATAGCATAGATAGTTACTGTATTTTCATATTTATATAGAGATAATAAATGAAAGTCAAAACACCGGAGTGATAAATTGTGAAAACGTTAATATTTACGCGCTGGAATATGACATTGACATTTATTTAATAGTTGCGAATAATAGTTAGACATAAAATAAGTTTGTATCAATTTTTAAAAGTATATGATATGCTGGTGATAGTTAGCATCTCGAGGAGAACCGTGAACCAATGGGTCTAAAGCACCAAATTAGTTTAATTAATTGATTATCATTCATAGACAATATTTAATTTTTAAATAAGAATATTTAACCCGATTCTGAGTGCAAAACGTATGTGTCACGTACATCAAACAAATTTCTGGTGGGCAAGTGCTCTTCCTTCTATCTCAATCATTGATTCATATCCGAAGATCACTGGTGGATATTGATCAATACCCGTGATTTTAATGTTATTTTTGATTTATTAGTGTTGGCATCCACAAGAAACTCAAAATTTAAGAAACTTTATAACACTCGAACCATGGTCAAACACACAGGTATTGTAAAAAGTATCGGTAGCATTTGGCAGTTAATTAGGGTAATTTCATGTATTCTTGAATTTTGAAATTGATTTTTTGTTATATACGAAAATTGTGAACATCGCTTCAGATAAATTATAGCTAAGAATGTTAGTAATTTTATTAAAATCCGAAGTGCATGTTTCATTGCAAGGTTCAAATCAAACCGTGGCTATCATGGATACCAACGTAGTTTTCCCATCTTATTTTGAGACGATAGGTGGCACAGGCTATTGTGAACGAACATACTTCAAAAAGAAAATGATAACAATCAACAATTAAAGCCTTTTTTTGAATGTGTTACATGTGGATGTGTATAACTAAAATGTTTAATTCTACAATACGCAGAATCACTGCCATCTGCGTGTTTATGCTTGTTAAGGAAGATTTAAAGTTACGGTGAGCCATTTGTATTGGAAATTAACATATCGTATGGATAAAAATACGAAGAATAATGATTTTAAACTCGATATATTTCTTTTTGCTTTTCAACTCGTGGGTGATGGTAATTTTTAATTAGAATGGCGCGGTAATCCGTCTTTTGACAGCAAAAATTTACTTAATAGTTCATTAATATAAATAAAAAAACAGCTCGGGAACTAATTAGTCGGTTCCGGATCAAGACAAATGATCTAAATTGTTATCAAATTCGTTTCATCTAAGACCGCTCAGCCATTTTCATAAACAACATTAAAAGACATGATTATTAGCCGGAGATTAATTCTTTACCTCCTAATGAAAGATTGAAAATAAGTGAAAGCAACCGAAAAACATAAAGTGACATACTAAAAGAAGAAAATATCAATCGATAAACAATACAGCCTTGTTCCATTATACAAACAGAAGTAGTATAGCTAATCTCAGTATATTTTTTGTAAAAAATGGCAAAGCGCATCCAAAATAATTAATGAGTAACAATATTTCGTGTTAAACCTCGTGTAAAACACAAAACTAAAACTTTGTACTTTTTTGGGAGCAAATATTTTTATTTCTATTGAAATAACTAACCATTTTGAAACTGTTTTTATCTATATGATGACGACACGTTTTTTTTTCTAAAGGCATGTTTATTTATTTCCATGCCATCTTTCTAGATATTACTTCGCACCAAATATTAGATTACAGCAACTTGACAGCAGGTATTATAGTACAGTGCTAATTGCTAAAACGTCCTTGGATCTACCCTCTTTATCAATGACAAGCTCGATGAAATGGTTCAGCCATGCACCTCTGAGAACTTTCATGCTGAATACGAGTTTTTTTTGTGTTTGTTGTACGTGGAATGAATATCTCATCCTTTCTACTGAGTGGTTAATCATATCAATAAACAATTAACCATATTTCGATTATTCAAAAACATTTACCGACCTTGCACGAGAAATACTGCTTTGCTTTGTTCCTACCGGCTTTTTGTATTTTCAGTGCATATTCTCAGTATATGAATAGTAATTTCTGATCTATCGCCCAAGACGGCAATTTTAACAATCTTTATGATCCAAAAAGAAAGAACTCGCCAGCGACATTGAAAGAACATGGAATGTATATGTGTCAAAAGTGATGTTTCGCCTTGTTTGCCATTGAATAGCTACAGACAAGGGAGACTGATCATGATTATCTCAACGAAATAAATTCTGTGCCAATATGTTCAAATCATAACCAATTCGGAGTTGATTAAAGTCATTATAAATTTTGTAAACTACTTTTTAATGAATCGTTTTACCTAGCCAGTTCACATATTAACGTCGAATTCTTGGTGATATACACGTGTAACGCAAAGAGTTGAAGAATTAAGTTGATATTGGCGTTGGTGCATTAAGAACACTAGGGATTGGAGATAATCGCGGTCGATATAATTAAACATTTTTTGTAAGAAATTACGGAGCTGCTCATTTGGATTCTGTGTTCCACTGTCAATCATATCCCGTAAGGCCGAAACATATAACTTAGACAGCTTAATTTTCGGTACGTCTGTTCTAATTCTCTCATTCCTGAATTCACTGTACGATACTACCAATACATCGATGGAATGGGGCAAGAAACATAGGTGAAATGGATCACTGAAAAATGCTCCATCAATTACCAATGCTTTCAGGTTTGGAAAGTTTTTCAAAACACAACTGGCGATAATTTGATCTTGATCATCACTCGCTACGGACGAATTGCTCATATTTAGCAGCTTAAGACTTTCTGGCAGATAAATAAACGATTCTTTCCCTGCAGTTTCTAAGCTGGCTTGAAGTGTCTGCAGGTTGTGTAGATTTTTCAGATATTTGCAATTACAGTTGCTCATAAGAACTCCGTGGTAATGCAACTCCTTAATTTTTGATATGGCATATGAGCCGAAGATAGCGGTCAAAAGCTCATCTACTGCCTGGTTTGATTCTCTGACTGTTTTTATCGTCGATTTAATGGGTTGTTCAAAAGAATTATTTGTTGATTCACAACCAATATTTTCCTGCGATCCGTAAATTTTGTATCGATTTGTTAAATGATACTCCAAATTGAACAATTGTGAGTTATCTAATCTGTAACTACCAATCACCAGGCGATTTATCGTCTCAAATTCGTTAAAGAAATCAGAGATATCAGCAGCATTATTCGGTATGTCGTATAAAACTAGAATATTTGTTCTAATTGGGCCTTTGAGTGTAAATTTGCTTGTTGATGCTATTGAAAAATCAATCTCGATTTCATCAAAGCATTTCGGGCCTGAAAGATCGAAAATACCTTCACATGCTGATATTGTCAATTTTCTGCAGTTGTTGTTTATGATAAGGCCTGAATGATCGTCAACTTTTACCATCAACAGCTTAATCCAACGAAATTCATCCATTAGCTTGATTTGTTCGGTGATATGGCACTTTTTCAGCGAGAATTTGCTGAACGAATTTCCGTATGGTCTAATTTTTAGACTAGTCTGCCAATTGAAATGTAATTTGACATTCAAAAATCCTGAAAATTTCAGATTGCCCTTTGTTTGGCTGATATCGACGGTTTTACGCTTATCTTCAACAATTATACTGATATTATCGGTAACTTCAACATAGTAGAAGGTTATTGCCTGAATACTTTGATCAACATTAACCGTTCCTTTAACTAGTGCTTCGGTTAATTTGCATCTGTTAGGACTTCTAGGATAATTTATACGAAAAAACAATTTCGATTTGTCGCTCTTCAAATAAATGCTGTTAAATCCGGCCATTCCTGACAAGTAAAACTGTCCAATTGTCTGACATAATTTCAACTCTTGGCACTTATTTTGAAATATAATAGCGGATTCTTTTTTTACCGTACAAAGATAGAGGTGGACAGACTTAAAATCGTTTTCGAATACAAAATCGCTCTGTAATTCTACTTCTTTACATCTCAGCGAATCGACACCATCCATAACCTTGTAAACACCTATGTCCAAGACATTCCTCAGGTACACTACTGTGTTTTTTATTGGCTGAGCCACTGACTTCACAAAGTCTATTGAAAAGCTAGCATAAAAGATATTATTGGTTGAAACTACACCGGATTCTGTGCAACTACTCAAATATGACTTGTAAGGTTTCACTCGATAAGTGAGACGTTTTATACGACCTGATTCCCATAAATCTAGCCTTTCAATCCAGGACAAAGCTGGTGTTACAAACATATCACCCGTCAACGTGGTCAAAACACTGGTTAATGGCCATCGATCATTTACAAATATGATTAGCTTATTGTTAAGATAATCATGTCTAAATTTTTCGTAAAATTCACTCGCATTATCGAACAGATAACTAGATGTCACTTCTAGGCACTCGAATAAGAATCCTAAGTTGAATTCCTTCAGTGGTATATACTTTCCCACGGTTATTGCCTTCTTCTTTTCGCCATAAACTTTAGCTACACAAGTTGGACCATCTGTCAGGTATAATTCGGTAGTATGGTTTACAATTTCCTTAAATTTTTCAAAAACTATGAGAGAATTACATTGATTTCTTTGTAGTTGGGTTAAATAATATGGCTCGATAAATCTTAGTTCCTCATTTGGATCAAACAAAGAAGTTAATGCTTGTTGATCATCTTGCAAATTCATGCATATGTTATATGCCATGCCCTCGTTACGATCCAAACAAAAAAACACTTTCTGAAATATGCATCGCATTTCCTCTAAAGAAAATGTATTAATGTTATCACTTGTTGAAGTCATAATTTTTTCAAATAATGATTTTTTAAATGGCATATTCACAATTTTAAACCTTTTGCTTGTATCGTTATTCGCCAGTATATAATCACGGTAACTAGAATAGTTTCTTTTTGTTTGATTCTTGGTCAGAAATTGTACTGCTGTACTATTCAGCAGAACATCTTCGGCACACTCGGAAATTCCCAAAATATGTTGTTTCTGACCGTATTCCTGAATATTGTAGTTGAAGCTAGTCGTGCCTGCTTCCAAAGAACTTAAAAACTCCATCATATTTGTTTCTCTCAGGTTATAAATTACCATGTACTCATTATTTCCTTCCTCTGTCCATGATTGAAATACAAATATATATACGACAGCCACGGTAACATAATCATATAATGAAGTTATCAACATGTTTTGAAGGATATTTTGGTTCAATAAATAGCTTAAACTAACATTTTAAAGGCAAATCATATTTTGTTCCCAAATAGGTTATTTTAATTTTAAATACAATTTGACTTAATAAGTGAATTAAAACATGGTGAACTATCTCAATAATACTGTGATATTATACATTTGTTGACTATTGCAGCTAAAATTGTAGTTTATTCGCTACATTATTTTGCACTAGAAACTCGCTGCTAAGAAAGCGATAACTTTATAATGCTTGCTTTTGAACGAATACGTTGCAGCAACCTGTCATTTTGATTATTTGTTTGTATTTACAGCACGGCTTGTCTAGAAATACACCTCCTGAATATTTACAAAATTAATTAGTATCACTAATTTTTTTATGACTTCTTACTATACACAAATGAGGAACTTAAACGAAGTATTGCGTTATGATAAAGTGTTTGTCAGACTGTACTGTACTACATTGTGTGCAATACCCATTCAATGAAGAATGTTATCGCTAGTTATAGCGTAAGACAAATAATAGAACCTAGTTTTGTGAAAGTTCTTATATTGGAATATACAAGTTGGTAGATAATGGAATAGGTAAGTTCGGAATACAGAAACAGAAAAAATACTGGTTAACACGTTCACGCAAGTTCAATTACATAATTTACAAGTTTGGTTCAAAAAACTGCTGCTGCTACATTAGATTTGGATGAGGCAGTATTTCGTGACATACCAATAAAAAGTATAAAAATTTAATTAACCAACCAGAACTTTATAGTTCATTTTCCATACTTGTTATATTATTCAATGTGGTATTTGGAGATAATCATGCATGGGACAAGTTTCTAACATGTTTAATTTGTATTACCATCACAAGGCACAGGATGCCTGCGCCCGACAGACCCAACACCAGAACCTATCTAAATGCGTATGTTTAGATGATGAAATGATTTTTTTCAGTTTGTTCGCTAAATTATGAAACATCATTTGATAACTGGGCAGTAATTTATTTACCAGAGCTTTGTTGATCCTTGAGATAATGGAACGCAGACACGGATTGTTAGGGATTTGCTCAGGTCCTGGCAGAACTATGATGTACATAGTCTACAATGACGAATATGCCGTTGCCTTCGATATTACGGACATAAAAATACTAATGCATGCGCTGGAAATCAATCCGCCTGCCATGTTCATGGAGATGATGGACGTTTTTAAGTGTAGAAAGATGTTTAAAAGGAAGCTTCTTGCAATATTTACCACGCAATATCGCCAGCATTGTGATATTTACAGGTGCCATTACGACTTTTTGTCCAAAAGCATATTTTTTGGAAGAAATTTGAAAGAAAAAAGGTACTGTTTTGAAGACTTTGAAATTTTGGTTCTAGCTATCCCGTGCTGTACCAATGATTCCTTCAGTTTTCTGATAGATGACTATTTAATTCTTGGAAGTGTAGTTTCCTATCTGGGATACGGTAAATTTTATAAAGGAACAACCGAAAAATTGAATTATACGTTCAAAAAATTCAGTACTAACGTGAAACCACACGTAATATGTTGTTATGGACGTGATTTTTCTCGGGCAGGCTACAGATTTGCGTGTGAATATTTCGAAGTTCCTACCGAATTTCGGAGCAAAAAATTTCTTACGTTCGGCGAGGAACAAGTCTATAACCCCTTTTTTAACTACAAGAAGCTTATGGATGAAGGTAATATAGAAAGTTTAAATACACTGATACACACTAGAAATAGGCACAAACGTATGTGATGGTGTATGATATGCCATCACGGTGGCATCGCTATGTGTGCTGGATCGAAGGAAAGGACCTGAAATGTACTAGATTTAGTACTTTGTTAAAACATACCAAGTAATGAAATATTACAGCCTAACAATATGTTTTATTTAAATTATTATCGTATGATTGGCATTAAATGAAGACAACCTCTCCAAACGCAGATATAACACCATAACACATCCTTACGGCTAAACAAACCGAAAAACACGTAACATCATAAACTATGCACAAACACATTCCATACGAAAAAAACTGAAATAAATTGTCGTAATTAAACCCAAAAATTGCACAGTATGTCAGTCCGTAGACAACGGAATTAAAAAGTGCAAAAAGGAGCACGTATGTTGTGTTCCGAACGGATTTTTCCCTCACATTATTATTGAAACATTTGTCTCCTTTTATATCACCGAAGAGATACTTGCGGAACACGAGCTCGTCAAGACATGGAAACATCACAATTTTCTCGAAAAACATCTCACAGTACTCTATCAACCTTTTTCGTGCGTTTAGACATATCCGGTACTCGGAGAAAAACAAACGGTGCATGCGCAGCTTAACAAAAGTAAGGACGAGCGCAAACGAAAGAGCCAGCATACAAAGCATTCTGTTCCGATTAATGAACTTAAAATCCCTGATAAACAACTTACGGTACACGAATACGCCGCCAATGAACGAAAGGGACATAATTATAAAATCGGCTGCTGTGTTGATAGTTCGGAAAAGAGGCTCGCGAGCAGGCTTGCATTTTTTGAGGTAATAGGATAACGCAGCGTTTTTTATGTGGATGAAGATGAATGGAATGAGGACATTCAGTGCAAATTTTAGTTTGCGACCGTAGAGCATTAAGAGGGGTGCGATAATCCCCTTTTTATGAATTGCTGAAGCACGAACCATTGGCAGCGAGCCATCCGAGCAGTCCAAATTGGAAAGGTTTGATCAACTTGTCATCCACCAGGGATGTATAAATCCGTTAAATTTATGTACGTCGACCTTGAGTACCGTTTTGCGGTATGACTACAAATTATGATGAGGGTTGCAGCAAAAGATTGCAGGCCAGAACGAACTTTCTACTGTGTAGAAGGAAATCATAAATAAAGTTCTCTTTAAAAATACAATAAGGTGTTATTTTATCCAAATACAAAGTCAGAAATGTACATACGGTGCTATTACCATATTTCATAGCATTTGGCACGTATAAAATGGTTGTTACAGCTGTAGTCAACATCCTAGAGAGGATTAAACATCAATATAAGGCCATGTATTTAATAGGCGCTTGGCAAATACAATTAAATAAAAATTTTTAAGTTGTACTACCATTGATGTACTTCATTTCAATGATAATGTTGTTGTATTAGTAACAATAGAATGGTATCTCATTTTTCCACGGAAGAAAACACTTCACGTTCTGATTGTAAAATCTTGTTTGGCAAAGCCTATTAACCAAGTATAACTGTGCTATCCAACCTATATTTTTGTTTGTCAACCCTACATGCTGTTTGGTCGCGGTAATTGTCATATCTCAGCTATCATCACTAAAAAGGACTCCTCCATTTCAACAATAAATAATATTTCTACATCAGTCCAACCTGATGGAAAACAAAGCAGGCACTCCTAAAATGGCTTGAAATGTATTTTTGTGCTGTTCTCGAACAAATATTTTTTGTACGAATTAGTTGTCACGGGCATGATGAGCGTTCAAAACTACTTTTTTGCCGCTAATTGAATGTACTTTTACGATGATTGTACAATAAAAAGCCGCTATGCTGAATTTTAATGATCACGTCCTATGACAGGAGTGTCTCGTATAGCATTAGGAAAATTTTGAGAAATATGAAACCATTTTATGTAAGAACAATTTTATCTACTCGCTATACCATATTTGAGCTCGTAGAAAGATTAATTAATCTTTGTTCTTCGGTTTATTGCTATAACACGACCGATTTAAATTACGACGCTTAATTAAAGTACATTCAACTATTTTAACATAGTCAAATGTGGATAAATTTTGTACACATGGATAGCAGCAAAGAGGGTCGAAAATAACATGGCATGGTTTTTTCTATTTATCGGTACTGCTCCGCGTTGCGCGGTCATTCGGCGGCTGATGAGTCAAATCAAGTGATTAATTCAAATAATAAATTTATTAGTTGCGCCAGAAAGCCAAACAATTATCAACTTTGACATGTGATAAATGGACACATAGGAGATAGCCATGAAGAATAATTGTTACCTCATATTACCGATCAGACATGCAGAACAGCTGCTAACAAAGATAATCTTGTATTGAGAAACACGTTTACGGTGAATTATGGCAGTTCAACAAAAATACTAGGATAGTCAAGGAGATGTATCAACTCTAAGGGATGTTTTACCTGCGTAATTTACTCAGAAACGATTCGTTTTATGCTAATATTAATTTAAAATTCTTCGTGTTATTTTATCATTTTTTATTTGTACAAAAAGATCCAGAATCAATCACCGAATACCTTTTGCTCAGAAATTAGCACAAACAAAATTTTTGAGACATATTTATTCGTTGAGATGGTATTTGGTTGATATTTAGAAACAAAGATGAAAATGTATCATTGTAACGGAAATATTATCCTAATAAATGTTTTTTTCATCCAAAACATGTTTATTAACCCAACCTAATAAATGTCTGTCTCTTTAGGGATGTTTTGTAATTTGACTTGCAAATCTGATTTACAGGTTGAAATCCTTACAAATAACAAATTACCACTTATCTGGGTGAGTAGACAATAAATAAATACGTTGTTGGAAAAAAATAAGAAATTGCTGATACATGAGAATATCAGTCTAATGATTGTTGATTTTTAATAAGCTTTCACATATCAAAGCTAAATTGTTTGCACTTCTCACACCAAGAAAATCCGTTGAAATAGTGATCGTATTGTCAGGTTCTAAATATCAGCCAGTGCAAATAATCTGTTGTTCAAACGATAATGTGCCATTTGACAGAAATACTTATATGGTTTTAGAACGATACAAATATGTTCAGCACGTGATGTGGTCGTATCTTTTACACATTTTCCTGAGATGGCACATGCCAAATTTTTTTATAATCGTGTTCAGAGGTGATTAAAATTTAATTTATCATAACCTACTTTATCACTCACGTAAAATTTATTTAAATGGGCGGATTTCATTTGAGAAACCCTTGGAATGAACAGAAACACAAACGATGACAAAAAGAAGATTATGGAGTTGCTAAAAACTATTAAAGAAGGGCGTTGGCAGCTTACGCAGTTTAAATCTGGTAAGACAAATACCACGCTATTTTGTACAAACGATGATTATAAAGTTGTGGCCAAAATTTACGGAAAAAATACGAGCGATTTCATCAACCGAGAAATTGAAAAGTCTAACATTTCGTATCTTCATACGTACGGACTGGCACCTCGTATCATGGCATCGTACGAGAATGGATTTATAATCGATTATATACCCGGCAAAGAGCTCCAGGAAGTAGAGATTCAGGCACATTACGAAGTGATTGCACGGAAAATGAGAAAATGGCACACTATCAAAAGTTCAGGTGTGCCAACACTGTTCAAAACAATGCTGGACTGGTACTGGAAGGCGCACGTGCACCACAACAGCATGCTGGAGAATTACAACATCTACGATTTCATTATAGAAACGGAGAGAAAAGTTAAGCACTGTGAAGTCGGGTTCTGCCACAACGATCTTCTGGCTTCAAACATAATTATACTGAACAGCCCTGTGTGTGAGAAAGACTTGGTTATAAGTTCTATATCCGAAACGAGTGCCCGTCCTATGTATGAAGTTGATGAGGTGCAATTCATAGATTTCGAATATTCGGGTCCAAACTACACCGCATACGATGTTGCCAACCACTTTGCCGAGTACGTTGGGTATTCGTTTGATAAGAGCAAAATGCCGAGCGAGAGTTTTAAGCAAGAGTTTATTAGGACGTACATGTACTCAGGGTTTACGGTAAATGATAAGATAATTGATGACTTTCTGAAGGATGTTAATGTTTTTATACCGGTTTCTCATTGCTATTGGGGCCTTTGGGCGTTACTAAAGGGTCAAACCAAAGAAAAAGACTTTGATTACTTCAAATATGCTAAGTTTAAGTTGGATTTGGTAAATTATAAGGTAAAGAATCATCGCAGTGAGTAGCGTACAATTTTTGTAGTAAAAAGCTTTTAAATTGTTCGATAATAATAAAATTACTTAGTTTATGTTTAATAATCACTGCTTAGGAGAAAATTTCATCGAACATTTACACAAGGTGTGCATGTTCAGTATTGATAAGATATTTAACAGCAAGACCTCTTCCTAGGTGTGATATGAAGGGTAAATTTAGCTTTGCCCGTTCGTTTCTTTTCCCTAGCTATTACTCTGTTGTCTGGTGTATTTTCCAATTGCACTTTTAACTTTAGCAACAAAAACAACCGATGAGTGATAAATTTACTCTTTTCAATTAACCTTATACGTTCTTCTAGTTACTTTTCGAAGCATCACGTTACAAGTAAATTTATTCATTTAAAATTCTTCGCTTCATTGCTTGTATTACGTAATTCATTAACACGGTGCGGGTTGTATATTTTTTCCTGTTTTGACTCGGTAAAAATAGAAATAACAATCCTGCACTTATTTCATTTTATATTTAGGGACATCCATCGTGATAAAAATTTTAATCAATATACAAGGAATATTTTACGTATTATACAACAATATTAACTAGCAACGTACTTTTTTTGATATGAAGGTTATTTGATCATCTTTATCCCGTATTATTGTTGATGACAACATAATACGATGTCTTGATCTTGAGTTTCTAGTAAATGAGCGTAACTGTTTATAACCCTCAGGTTTTAGTTTCTTATTTTTTTGTATAATCTATCTGTCTAAATGGTATATATCGGCTGGTAATTGCTTTTTCTGTGTATAAAGAGTGATAGCCCACTTTTTAACTCAGATGAGTTACGAAACTTGTCAGATGTCAAAATGGGAAAGAATTTGATCATGTCTCTTTTTTGAGCTATTTGTGCGTATCGTCTGTTAATCACCATGAGTAATGCAGATTATACCATATCAATAATGTAAATTTATAGGATGTTGATGAATTTAGTTTGGATGATTAGCTGTGAACTGTTGGTAATATCAATTTTTTTAATAAAATTGCTTAATAAGTCTGATGGATTTTTATTCCGGATAAATTTGTTATAAAATATTTGAAAAGTTAAACATACGAGTCTAATGCTAAAAAGTTAATTAGTTTTGTTTTTCCGTTCATGACATCTATCAATTTAACGTGGTACCGTGTCAAGGAAACTGTCAAAGTTGAAAACTATTACAACAATTGATTTTTACAATGCCAAATAGGACCATGCTCTTCACTGATATTCATTTGGAAGAAATACTTGTGATTTACAAGTCAAATATGGTACGGAATACGTGTAATAATGAATGTGTTCGTACCATCTGATTATCCAATAGATTGTTCCATTTAATTTATACCGAAGTAATAAAAGGCTCAGAACAAAATAGCATTGTTTTAAGAATCTGGCCGTTCATTAAATCTTAATGTGGAATTAATCCCACAGAAGTGGTTACAATTACGCTGGTGAAAAGTTACGGGTATGAAATAAATTTTATCTTCTTAAAATGGATTGATCATACGGTGTAAATCATCGGCATGTCGTATCATCTCATTTTTAATCTTAAATGTAAGAATTGCAGACTTTTTGTGAGAATGAACCAAGAGATATGAAATTGAGTACAAAGCATTTTGCCTTCGCGCAAGAATAACGCCTTTCTAACAATTTAGTAATTTTTGGAAGTTCAAAAAATATTTTATCTTTTACCAAAAAGGATATTTAGAAGAAGTATAAATAAAATGATTGCTGCACAAGCAAATGTTTTATAACATAGGCCATGTGACACATTTGACAACAAACTTGTTTTTACGGTTTTGTTTGGAAGAAAGTGATGCACCGTTATACGAGTATGTAGCTTACGATGCACTATTCGATTTAAATAGAGACATGGATACGGGTGCTTTGGAGAAAATTGGTGATTTTTTAAATTTGTTCGATCATTACGATGAGTTTTTACCGGAGCAGCATGTAAGGAGCGCACTAAATAACCGGAGAATACGATCCAGAGAAGAGCAGTTTAAAATTGCTTTAAAAAAAGAAATGAAGTTATTCCCAAACAGACACGTGGTAGTGAAGGAGATATTAGTATCGTGTAGAATTGTAAGGCTCCCGATGACCAGAGTTATGTGCGAGAAAATTGTTGATATGATGCGAAACAGATCAGAGATGATCTTCACGATAAAAGATCTTCATACGATTTTGTTAAACTGGTTTTGGTATTTTATGAAGGAAAAAAGAGCAGTTTTTAATATTTGTCAGGTACTTCAAAGCATACCTAACTCCCTGTACAAGCTGCGGTGCCTGGATGAAGAAAAAGGCACTGAAAATGGCCAACCGACCAAGAGACTGAGAATGGACAACTGGCCTTTGCAAACAAACATCGATTTAAATGTACTACGTTGTGCCGTTCAATCAGAGATGTGCTTTACATTGCGAGACGATGATTTCCAAACATCAGTATCACCCGAAAATCAGAGCCGCAATAAGCTTGAATGGCAATTCGACCTCAAGGATCTGAATATAGGATATCTCATCAGCGAGCTTGAAATAAATTACAGATACCTCATCGAAAATGAGCAATTACTTCACAAAAAGTTCGCTGATGACTGCTCACTGATTGTAACGGTAAATTTGGAAGTTGTAAAACGAAAATCGAATATGTCTGATGAACGCATCGTTGAACAGATGGTTCGTAATACCTTGGCATCACAGTTCTTAAATTGCGACAGTGTCACAGACATAATACTTTATGTTCATGGCGGTGACTGCCCACAAGACCTATTCGAGATACCGCTATCAAAAAAATTTACCAAAATAATTCTCGTAAATTGCTCGCTTCGTCTTGTGCAGGCCTTGTCATATTATACAGAACATGTGTGTGTTCATAGCGATGCCTACAAATTTCAAAAATTGCAATTGTTACCGGCCAATGTCAAAGAATTGAGGCTAACCAATCTAAAATTCCTAAATGATTATTTATTGCCCGATAATATCGAGTGCTTTGCGTTGAAGAATAGCGTTCTATCAAATGGATCTGTGTTGAGAATAAATGAGAATATCAGGGCGATTGACGTGGTGTCAACACCTGGCCATTATTCCCTGCCGAAGAGAACAGGGTTGAGCGATATTGTTCTGCCGGAAACAGATGGTTGTGCGTTGGAATTTGTCCATTGCATCGATAATAGCGCATGCTTACGAATGGAAAGTGTCGAAATAGACCAGGAGGTAACGCTGCCCTTTACAAACATCTCATTGATAAACGTGAGTGTATCGAGTAGACTGGTTATAGCTGAGACAATGGAAAAGATTGTGATTAATAAGTGTTCTGGTCTTTTTGATATTTCTAATATTTTATTGGACTACAAAGGCAAGTTTAACAGGGGAATGTCGCTCAGGTATGAAATGAACAAAGGAACAAGCGCATTAGAAATTAGAAAATTTGTGTTTAATAATACGATTAAGATTAGAGAAGACGTATCTACGCTGATATTAGATCGTATAATCGTAGAGAGAAATTCAAGTCTAGAAGTAAATACGCGCTGTGAAAAGATAGTCGTTAATGGCTGTTATGCACGCATAATCTTGTCTAATATCATAAATTTGACTAACATTGACCTCAGTACATATGGTGTTGATGATTTAGTTCTTGTTTTTCCGCGATGTTTGGATACGGTGAAGATTCTTAAAATACGGTACAACTATGTCAACACCTGTGTGTTGGAGAAGTTGGTTAAAACATGTAGAAACATGGAAAGGTTTCATCTTTGGCATTCACTTCAGGAGATGAGCGAGAATGCTGGTACTTATATGCTGGGCAGCATAGATAGCTGTGATGGTATGCCACATGAAGTGGCATACCCTCTGGAACCGCACAACAACACACACAGCAGAACTACCAGTAATTCACAACATATTCATTGGAAGAGAAACACTAAAATTAATGAATTTTTATGTTCTGTACTTGCAGAGCATGCAAATACAAACATATATGAAATGGAGTTGTCTGGATTTGCGATCACATATGATAATTTTCATCAAATACATCTCCATTATCTGTTGGAACGGCTTGTTCTGTGCCCTTACTGGCTTTTATCCGCTATTTTCCAACATTCTTTCCCCATGCTGAAGTATTTGAAGCTTTGCCAAGGCTACGAACAAGAAACAGACATGACGCGCATAAAAGATCCTTCCAACGCGTACTTATCGACTTTCCACCAGCTTGAAACCTTCATTTCAACGAATTATATTTTTGGAGACCCCCAGTTTCTGCTCTCGTTACCGAAAAACCTTAAGAACTTGGAATTACCGCTGTACGAGTTTGAGGATGAGCTGCTCACTGAGATTGTGAGAGACAAACTGAGAATAAGGAGACTTGTGATACACCATCCTAATTTTGGTGAGGAACTCTTCGAAAACAACAAAATCAATGAAGCATCGACGCTAGCGGAAATGGTTCGTACACTGTGCGAATATTTAGAGTTTACTTCGCTCGATTTCTTTGCATACAAGTCTGGGCACGTAATTTATTATCTTGATCCGATAAGCTTGAAGATTATCGAGTCCACAAATGAAACTGCTGATCTGAACGAATAAATCGATGTTTGCAATCGGATACCCGGTCCTAGATCATAAATAATTCTTTTTCTTAAAAGTGTATTTATTAATCGCTTCATTCTCGGTAACTTCCGTATCTCAGGATTTAAAATTTGTTTACTGTTGTCCAAAGAAGCGCCTTATTAGTATGTTGGCATGGGAGATGAGAATCTGAGGAATAACAAATTTATTTACTACTCCTATTGCAACACACTGTTGCATCACACCGATTCGTAAATAAAATTGGTAGTCCGCTAAGTAATTAGTGTTCCAAGGAGGAGGTACGGTTAAAATGCGTATTAGCTATTACTAACGGTCAATGACTTTCAAACAGTACGTTAGTATCCTTTGATCAAATTATTCGATACGTCAAACAGTATACGTACCGTGAGCCACATTCCTATTCATTAAATGCTTTGAAAATGAGCAATATCCTTGCACAGACCAGCAAAAAATGTTACGAATTTTTATTGAAAGCAAACAATCAGTACATCATCCGCCACATAAAACAGACACCCTGCTGTTTTTTAGCGTGTTTTATTTCCAATTTACATTCCAATAGCCGTAAAAGTGTTTATGGTTCACTTTCTGTTCTATCTAAATCCCTTTGGCATGGTTAAACGGTTCCTTTTTCTTCTTGCAGCAGGTCTTTTTTTCGGTGCTGAACTAGCGCTGACTGTTGGTTCATTCTCTTTATTTTTATCTCCCTTTATTATTTCATCGGTATTGTCAGCGATGTCTTCTACTATGCTGTCATCATTTCGTTTCTTAGTCACATCCCTTGAATATTTATTCCACATTGGAACACTGACCTTCCTACTCATGTCCTTCATTTTTGTATCAATTATTGTCGCCGATTCTTCCTCTTTTTCGCACGAATTGTTAAGATTACCACCTTGCGCTTTGAAATCAATCGACTCCATTTGCTTTAAGGGAATCTTTTCAGCAGAACAATAATCGTTTATTACCGTTTTACCCTTTAATTTGCTTTGTGACCTTTTAGGTTCTCTTTTCTTCGCCTTCTCCACCTCATTTTCTTCTTTCATCCGATCCTTCAAGTTTCTTTTTGCTTTCTCACCGCTATATTTTGACTTGCCCTGTGAAATCAGAGCGAAGCTATCACTCGTGTCCTTCATTGTTTCTGGTGCTGTGCCATTCGCGCTGCACTCGTCAACGGTTTCTATTTTAACTTCATCTTTACGTACTTCAGTACTTTCAATGGCTTTAGATAGCTTTGACATTGTAGCCGTACCTTTCTTCACCGCAATACTTAACCTTATGCTCTTCTTGATATTATGAGGTGATATGCTGCTCTTATCTGTATCATATGCTTCGTTGTTAATAACATTCTCGTTTGACAGAGTTCTGCTCATCATATTTTTCTCGTTTTTCAATTTCTCATTTTCTTTCCCGGAAGCTGTCACAACTTTTAAAGGATCGTTTCTCAATTTACAATCGGAATGGCTCTTTCTCATATCTTTACTTTGTTTCACGTCGTGTTCATGTCCTTCTTTTCCAGATACAGCACTTTCTCTTTCCTCCACAATTTGCCTGCCATTCCGATCGTTCCTTTTGTCTTTTTTCTCGACACCTTTCTTGTCCTTTTTTATCTCATTATCATCTTTCTGTAATTTACTCAAATAATTGAGAAAGATCTTCTCTTTAGCACGTTCCAACTCCTCCTCCTCATTCTTCTCTCTACTCATGTTTTTCATCAGTAAATCATCAAAATTACATTCATTCTCGGCAACACCTTCCTGTTTCTTTATCTTAGCACACTCCCTCTCTATAATTTCTTTCCAATTAGCCGGAAAACCGTCCTTAAAAAGCACAAGCAAACTCTCGTCAAACAATGGATGGGGTAACTCTCCCGTAAACCGTTCCACCTTATAAACGGTGCAATTTTCTGTTACCACTACGTTAAAATTGGCATTTTCTATAAAAGAAGTCTGTATCAGCGTATTATCGTTGATATATCCCATCACTATTACTTTATATGTGCTATTCTTGTTGATAAGCTTGAACGACCAGTTATGTAATGTTTTATGGGCGACGAGACGGGGATGTCTGAGACGAAATATTTTGTAGTTAGGCAGGTTTTTTAATTTGCCACGGTTTAGAATGTCTGTGTTGGGTATTATTGGCATTTTTGGGGTGGAGGGGGGTAAAATATTCGTTTATATAGATGGCGAAGCAACCATAGCTTATCGCTGTTTACTGCAGTTGCAGTGTTTAAACAGTGTAGTTTATCTTAATATGCGTCTAATTGGCAGTAAAGTTGGTGCGGCGAGCTTAATTATAGAGCATGCGATATTTTGTTGTAATATATAAAAAATACTTCCTACGCTATGTATCGGCATATTAACGCATTTCGATGAAATAACTGTACGAAGGGACGGATTAACAATATAAATAATTCTATAAAGTGATTTGCATCTGAATATGAACGTATTTTACACCATTGAAGGATCATTAAGAAATACAGGTATTACTAGATTCACACAAAATACTTGAAAAGGAACACCGTTCAGACAATGTGCCTGTCCGAATGATGTTATGTGAGGTGCAAGATAAATCGTTTGTAATAAAAGAATGAATAGGCACTTTAAAGGCTATAGACAAATCAAATGAGGGTTGGTAGCATAAGTGGGGAGATTCGGGATAAAATGAAAATGAACCGCGTTTCCATTCAAATACCAATTTATAACAGTGATTGATCAGAACATGTAAGTAAGGGATGTAAAATCATGATATTTCTGTGCTTTGGATAAAGAACCATCTCAGATAAACCTAACTAAACCATATTTGGCCACGAACAGAGTGCATTCAAATACTACACAGCGAATTCGGTAGACATAAAATTGGACGAGGTGTTCAGTGTGAGATGAAAGAAACAACATCGCTGAGAGTGTATTTCTTGAGTTTTTAGTATGGATAAAAGATACCAGTGAATTCTGCAGGAGAAGAGGATAACTCGATAGATGAGGAAGGTTATGATACTTACATGTTTAACAAGTATAATTTTAATTTGTAGATCGGATGTTAAGCTTTATTTCAAATCGGCAACACGCTAATTAACAGCACTCTAGCTTCACAAATCTGCTCAGGATATCATTAAAAATTTTTTGAAACCTGTCTTTTCGGATGAGCGGAGTTTCCATGTATTCGATAAAGGAACGAAACGCGCAGCTATGTAATTTCTTAATTGTTTGAATGAACTGTATTTTATCGTTGTGGGTGAAGTTCTTGGTCAACGATGTACCATTTCCAGTATGTGTGGTGTCCTGGTCGTTAACTAGGCAGTTAAGCGCTATTTGTCTATAATCAGGTAATTGCAGATGAGTATTGTTGTACGTGATGAGTTCTTTTTCTTTCACTTTATTAGATTGAAAGGTATGTACGGCCAAGTCGGGGGATGATTCGGTGCATTGAATCTTTAATTGTTCCTTGGTTGTTCTTTTATCCACATTTTGAGTTTTTTGCACATCACCAGCTTGTTTCACCTTGTATCTTGCATTTCGCTTAACCTTTGTGTTGAACTCGGTGTTTGTATTCTTACAGCGAATGCTAGCCATTTTGTTCTTACACTTCATATTCGCCTTGCCCGGTTGCTTAATCTTGCGTTTTATTCCGCTGTTTTTTCGCTGTTTTATGCATTTTGATCTTGAAGGCCTTTGTTGAACTGTCATGTCAGATATTTGTACGTCTACCGATCCACTTTTACTCACTTGCTCAACATATGTCTCGCTATTATGGGTCTCGTCACTACAAGCTTTGTTGTTATGCACTTCATTATTATTAAACTCCATTTCAACACTCTTTTCACTATTGCCACTCCTCTCGTATTCTTTCATCAACTCGTTTCTATCGAAATAATAGCCATTAACCATCTGCCCAGTTTTAATGAACTTTTCCTTTGCACTCAAATATTTCAGCACTCTAACCTGTTGCCTTGGCGTAAGAAACCGCATCTCTTCTTCATACATAGATTTAAATGGCCGATAAACACCGAGAGGCTTGCGCTTCCTTCTTCGCCGTTTTACCACTTGTTTCGTTACACATTCGATCGGGTCGTTAGAAAGTGGTGAGGGTATAACCGAAGTATCGATAAAAGCATTCTTTGATGGATCAGTGGCTGATGACATTGATGGGCAATCATAGGGAAGACGACGATATTTGGGAAATTGATTTGGAGGGAAATATTGAGGAGTGCGCAGGGTTAGCAATGAAGTGGGCAGTTATGTCACAGCAAATAACATATTATGTGCAAATTCTAACGTTTAAAGTCTGTAGACAATGCTGTTTTAAGGATATAGCATTCATTTTAATTACATAAATTTATTTTCATATAACATGTGAGATGTGCTTCAAATAGCGGTATATGAGATAAATCCAAATTTTCTGATGTGTAAAGTAACAGATAAACGTACTGTTACTGAAAAAAATAAATCTAAATTAAGAATTCTGTGAAGATGACTGTTTATCATGTATACCAAGAAATGCTCTGATTACAAACAGAAATAAACGAGTGATGCGACAAAATTTGCAAGAGGCACGAGTTACCACTAATTTCAATTACGTTTATCTCGTTTTCCACAAAACACAATGTTTCTGTTCTCTTCATCTAGCTGGTATTTGCAAAGACAGTGAAGTGTCAGACTATGTTCAACAAAATTTGGCGTTAATTATTACACATTAAACATTTATAATTAAATATTTTATGGATAAAAAGTTTAGTGCCTGTGCCAAATATCCGTTCAAAACCGAATATTTTATGACGGAATGAACAGTTTTCCTTAATAATTCATTGATACCGATAGATTAAAAAGATGTATACTCTGATTTTCATGGTTCAAAAGCCACGATCAACCGACGCGAAATGATAAAGGAAGGGAGAAAATAGTATTTCGGTTGAGAGAGCGTTTTATAACACTTAATCAGACATAGAAAATGATAGAGCTGTATCTGATGCTTACTGTTCCTCTGATTTCTTTGGTAGTAACAATGCCACAAGATACCCGATCAATTCACCAACAGAAGAATTATTCAACATTTTAATGATAACCAACCACGTCTGAATTATTGCATCGAGCCAATGATCTACACTATTAATTATTGCTGCTGTGTTATTACACGGTCAAAATTTTTTTCCAGAAGCAGTACTTGCATATATTCGTTGTGTCTTTTCTTTTGCACGGAAATGTGCTGATAAAAGCAATTCACAAAACTTTCTTAGTTTTGCTCTTAAAGACGAGTTTTTAACATGAATACATACGGTAAGATGATATTTAATTCGTTTAATGGCATGTAATGCTGCCATAATGTTCAAAAAACTGCGAAGAGTTTCCCTCTCAAAATTGTTGAAAAATTTTCTATCCAAGATGGGCCATGACACTTCCTCTAACAATCCAAAGCTCTCAACCGACACAGGTAGTAATAACATTATCCGGAATTACACTCTTGGAATATGAATTCTTACAAAAAAATGTTCCTAGGCATTACACACTCACTAGAACGTTGACGACATCAACATCGTACTTGGTCGTGAGCAGACCCACTTTTAGCGAAAAGTACATATGTGCCTTGCAGTGGAACATCCCTATAATACACATATCGTTCTTGTACAACACACACGTTCCTGTTAAATCATTCCTGATAACACCGTTCCAGAACATGAAATTTACAATTGAAGATGTGAACAATCCGATCTTTAAAAACTATTTTGTATGCCAGGGCGCAGTTTATGTGGAAAATATGCGAATTGATCTTGATTTTCTGATAGCGGACGGTGAAAATGAGCGAAAGAAATTTGCGGATAAATACGGTATTCCTGTGATACGAACATCAGATGTATTTAGAAATAATTATAGGAAATTCCAGAAAAAAAATTGGTTATTCGCACTCAGAGACATGTCGGCGCACAAGAGGAAAGATGCACAGAACAGAGAAGAATTGGCACAAAGCGCAAGTTGTGGTGAAGACCTAGATGGGAAAACGCATTTAGAAATGAGTGGAAATGATGCAAAGATATTCAAGGATAAGATATTTTATTTGGACAGCGATTATTTGTCAAAAAAACTGATACATCACTTGAAGAAGCTGATAATAGAAAATGGCGGTTTTAGACTTTCACATGGTGCAAAAAACACGGATTACGTGATTTCAGAGAACGATCTTTCCTTCGAATTCATATTTCATTGCATAGAAAACGGCGAACTTTTGCTTCCTGCTCTCTTCCAGAACAACAGTGCCAAACCTATTAGAGTGCTGGAAGGATGCACCTTTATTGTGACCACCAAATACAACGAAGAAATAAACAACAAAATACGTGCCATGGGTGGCAGAATCAAAGATAAATATGACTATACCGTTACGCACTTCGTTACTGAACATGAAAAATTGAGGAAGAACGCTAAGTGTGTGAGTAAGGAATGGATTGATAAGTGCCTGTATTTGATGAAAAAATGTGAAGAACGGATATGCATTCTGAGGTTGCCCACCAGGCAAACTGTTTCATACAATATGGAAAAGGAGATTGTTGTTCAGTTCACTGGTTTGCCGCCAGATCTCAAGGCTAAACTGAAGATGAAGTTAGACGCACTCAATATCAAATATATGGAGAATGAACAGATGAAGGGTGTTACGCATCTTATATCGGCAAACTTAGCAACTTCAGAAAAATTTTTGTGTGCTATGGTGAGTGGCATACCTATTATCAAACCGGATGTTGCAGATAACGATTTGAGCAGCCTGATGTGGACAGAGGAAGATGCTGATGAAAAAGACAAAAAAATCGTAAGAGCCGTAAAATATTGGCGGGATTTAATTCGGAAGTCACACCGACTTCCTTTTTCAGGATGGCGGGTCAAGCTTTTCTGTGTGAAGTCACGGCTCGGATCATATCGTCGCGTGTTAGAGTGTGGTGGTGCCGAAATAGTGGAGACGCAATGGACTCACAGTTTCAAATCAAAGGATTATAAAGAAATCATAGACAGAGATGCACATGTACGCACCACCGATCATATCTTTTCATATTTATTCTCCAGAATACAAAAAAACGATTAAGAAACGATGGACCACAGCTTTCGTGAATATACATAGATCGGATACAATTTAACATAATATTAATACTTTTTGCAAAGCAATTCGGCACAGTGCTGCTTATATTTGTGACAACAATGTTACCAGGTCAATCATTCTAGTAATGGTAGAGTGGCTGTGAAGATGGTTATTAGATGTAGATAATAAAGATAAATCGATGAACGAGTCATTTTTATCATATATTCACAATTGTAAATCAGTGAATGATGGGATAATATTGTACCAGAAAGAAACCGATGGCAGTGACACCGATTAAAAATCTATTCAAGCTCCTGCCAACCAATATTTACACAAACAAGGCAGGCTATCAATTATGATGGCTACATAGATAATGTTGCCATAATAACATTCGTATTATTAGAAATAGCCTGCTAAGCTAGTTTACAACATATTATTAGAGTGTATCTCACATCAAAGACGTATTACAAACCTTATATTTACTTTAAACAATACTTTTACTTTGACTGTTTTATAGCGGAGGTATCTACCAATGCCACGAATGAGTGAAATCTTACGTGATATAACCCGCCTTAAACAACAGTAATACTAGTTATCCGATGATTTGGATTGTAACAAGCTATCGTCTGTGTTTGAATCAGAATAATCATCAGTCTAATGGCCTTGTTTTATTGTGGAAATTTCATACTTGGAATGATTCTTTACTCCTATTGAATCTTTTCCAACGATACATTTGTGTTCGGCATGACTTAATATCATTGACAGATACTGTTCTGTTGCGGATTTTTGATGCTGAAATTTTTGTTTCATTGGCTTGCTTTGAGCATTTAGATCATTTCCGCGTTCGCTTTTCATATTGTCCTTTATTATAGAACTTGTATTTCCATCAGTCTCGTCATTCATTGATTCTTCACCACTATCATAGCTGCCTTCAGGACACTTAATGCTAGAACGAAATCACGGCAGAGCATGCAGATTCTTCATCACCATGATCCTCTACTGGTCGCTTACCCGTGGTTAGTGGGATTGTTCTTGCTTTAGTCTTCGTTGGGATGATTGATTTTTGGAGATCATCAAATACTTTTGGAATCGAAAAGCAATTTGATATGCTTTTAATATTATTTTCGAGAGAATTTATTGCTTCTCTGAACGGGACGAAGACCCTGTATATTGACATACATATTCCCAGACAAACGATGATTGACCGACAGCAATTGTTGTCACAAACAATAACCAGTATGATATACACAATAATTATGTAATGTGACTTTGTTATTAAGTGAATGTACAGCAAAACTATGAAAATACCAAGTATGATTATATTTTTTTTTTCCTGAGAAAAGTGTACAACATAACGATACCAATTATTTTTGCAAATATGTAATTGATATGAGTTGAAAATTCTAAATTATTCCTGTCAAGTGATATTAGTTCGCGAAAGTTTATAAATTGAACAAACCGCGTAAAATTATCTGACTTTTTAAAGTAATATAGGTGTACCTTTCAGGTGATGTGGACAAATAATACGATTACTGCCGTGTAATCACATACTGATAGCATTTTATAGGAACAAAAAATAATATGTGTGCACGCTAAATAAATACATGATCTTTAAACTCATCAAAGCAAGCTGTTACAATAATCTTATTATATTAACGAGCAATTGAAGAATATTTATTTGTTGGAATAATTGGTGATAAATAGTGGATTTGTAGTCTTTGTTATCGAAGATCGTCTATTTGTCGTTCCACGGACCACATCATCTGAACAAATACACTATTTATGCTGCTGTAACCGAGCATGTGCTTGTGGCTTATGGCATAGTCCTTAATTGTATTCTGACAAGACGATAAGAAGATTGGAAGTATTCTTTTGGTTTAAAAAATGAATAGCAAAATGCATCACGAAAAATTTCTTAGTTAGTAAGGCGTTTATAAGCAATATTTTTTCGGTAACAGTTCTATCAAAATACTCATAATATGCCCATTTTGTCAAATATGCTCTTTGGTCAATTAATTCTGTTACGGTCTTTCATCATTGACGTTAGTTGTCTATATTGTATTGCTTTAATATAATCCAATTTGAGATTTTTAAGCTTGCACGATGGTTTTCTCAAAGAGAGTAGGTGTTGTTTATTAGCTATTGTTGAACTTGGTTTAGAGCTAGCGTTTGACGAATTTGATGTGGGTACCCATAATCCGCTCTACCGTTTAACGCTTACCACAGAAGTTATCACTTTTTACTTCTTGTAACACTGTATAGACCCTATACAAAAACGAAAAGCTATTTAATTTCAAAGTCCGCCGCAATTAAACAATTTTGTATACATTAACCTCAGCCAATGGTATTTATCGTTACGTGTTGCGATCCATGCGCATCTTATCTTTCTACAGCAAGTTTATTGACCGAAATTTCCTCTTATATGAAACCACGAACCATATACTTAAGATAAGGTGCATGTCAGTCCTCCAATTTGACCATTCAGGATCTTTGATCAATAGATTCAACAAGATAGATTAATTTTATTGATGTAAAATGAAGGATTAGAAATACCAATGAACGCGCAAACGAGGAATTAAAATTAAACGGAAATAGTGCGTTTATCACGTACAGAGGATTAAAAAATATTCTAAAGATGAAAATACGGAAAATCATACTTAGAATACTCAAAAACATAGCTCTCGTTAATCTCTTACATATAAATACTTCAAAAAGTTTTTAATCACGTTTTTTGCCTGTTTACTTTTTCTCTTTGTTTTTGTACACATCTCTTCTTGCAATAATTACCTATCACTTCAAAATATTCGCTCGATTATACAACTATATATCATTCTGAGCCTCGTTTCCATGGCAAATAAATATTTGGTATGTTTCCAATGTAAAATGGGACCAGAGCTTTATAATGCTGTAAATCTATTTTTGTCCTGTCATCGTTCATATCTAGCGTTATCTTAGTGTGAATAGATTTATCCATTCGTTCAGCGGTATACCTCCATACATCGCATCGATTGGTTTAGCAGGGTACTGTTAGACAAGCTGATCCGCTATTTTTGAGGTGTAAAATTGCGGTCGATCCCGTGTCAATCATTAGACTACATTTAATATAACAGCACAATTAATTGAGTTAAGTTTATTTGACGTACAAGTCCATGGTATTTTCGCATGATTGGCTGTTCAAGAAGATATGCGGCATAAAAAATGCTATTATACAATGTTGTCACCCGATAAGTATTATGAAGGCTCTAGTGAGTAGAGATATACTGGCTGTTTGTCGAATGATAGTGCACAAGTCAAGATGGATGATCTTCTTGGTATATTCTGAGCGAAACCGTTCGATCTACATGATTTATTAATAATTTTCACGCGCAAATTTTTTGCCCGTTTGTACCTCAGATGTGATCACAAAAATACAATGAATAGGTCGGGTATATGTTACTCATCTATTCACAATATGTCTTTTACACTTAGAAACTTTAGTGAAATCTGATAGAAGAGTCTAAAAAGGTAATTGGGATGCGAGAAGTGTGCAAAGCGATAAAAGATCCGAGCTAATACACATGTACAGCCCAGGATTGAGAAAAGAAGTCACCATGGTGGCATAAAAATGATTATCGCGGATGAATAGTGAATCACGTACCCCAATTCGATGCATTACTATTAGTGTGATGGAAACTAAAATCAAATGATCAGTGAACGTGAGAAGACTTGCAACAAAGAGATAAAAGACCATGTGATGAGAATGAATGTGGAGGTATAATAACAATTACTTGTCGAAGCCTGGAAAACACATGATTATTGGATTAGAAATAGAGAGAGTCAAATAGATAACGATCTGATATGTATTATTATGGACGAAGAACAATAAACCATGGATGGAACAAAAGCAGATATATGATGTTAATATACATGCAGTTCAGATGGACGTATTTGCACATGTTTCCAAACTAAGCACCAAGTGAAAATCAGGTTATTATGATAAAAACCATATACAATAGAAGCACATCAGTACTTGTATCCATTGACAATAAAACTACTATTTAAAACTGTTTATGACTACATACTACTATGCAATAAACTTTCACCTCCTTATTTTACACCGAATAGCCGTTTATTGTCCATATAATTCTCAATTATACATTTTCTCACCATCTATTATGCGAGATGTATTAACGGTTCGTCTAAATTATACGATCGTTTACACAAAAATACCGCATCTATGGGAGATTGTATTGTTCCCAGGTGTATGAGATATACATTCATAATTTAGATAGATCCGTACTTTTATTACCTGTTTTTACCTTTTCACAAAAAAAGGCAACTGATAGATTGGACAATTTTGATGTTTATATTGATGTAAACTATAAAATGGAAATATGAACATATTTTGATTACCAAGACATTTTTAAATGTTGTATAACTCATTCAGTTGTTATGTAGTGCATCAGTTCGAAGCTAAACTTAGAATGTTACGAACATATCTATTGTTTACAAATTTTGTTGTTCCGAAATGCACCCGAAATAGAATCACAACACTAGATCACGACGAGCAAATTGTGCTAAAAAGTTTGTCATGTAATATTTACGAGGCATAGACTTATATTCGTATTTAAATGAATGATCATTCTTTGCAATGAATAATATACACCAAGTGATCGAAGTGGTATAGAGACCTATCAGAACTTTAACACCAAATTAGAATTAATGTCGTATCAGTGAAATATATCAAGAGTGTATCGTGCTATAACAACCATTTTTACAGCTTCGTTTATAACTTTTTACTTTGTGTGTCTAGCCTAAGTATCGACCTCTGTTTTTGCTCATTTGGTATTGAAGAAACACGACTATCTTAAATTTATTTTTTCGGACCTTTCCTAAAAGCTCATTTTGATCTGCATGTAATCAAATCAACAGATATTAAAAACATGATTATGGTAATAAAAAACTATATTTGCATATATTAGGTCGGAAACGACCGCATGCACCTATAAACATGTAATTACCATATCACCAATTTCTACTCTGTATCGTTCACCCCATATAAAAAAGAATTTTTTATTCACCGGCATCCAGTCCTTTGATCTGCCGAACAAGTTATGCCAAGATAAGTTTATGGTGATATGCCGTTCACATGCAACAATTTTGTTAGCAGGCATCTTCTATCTGCTCGGCCATTACTTCATGTTTAGCCATACACCATGCTAT